GAGAGGAATGATTGAAAGCAATAATGATAGAATTATGCCTTTATTGCCGATCACATGGGTGCTTTGTTGCCTAGCTGAAAATCATTTAAAGCATTTTCTTAACAAAGAATCTTCAGTAGTATTAAAGGTATTTGCAGCTACGTTTACAGAAGTGGTCAAAGATCATCTTAGCGTAAGAAGAGTAATCTTGAAATCCTTAAAGTCTTTCAATCATTAGAAGAATAGCAACGGAAAAGAAAGTATTAAAGCTTCCAGTCAATGACAGCTCTTGAACAAGAATATTCTGTCTTAAATACCATCTTCATTCTTTGATTTTATTCCATTACTTCCCCTATATTTGTTTTGTGTTTGCATGTGTATTGTTGAAGTGACGCGGCATTTGTAGGCCCTTCGCTCAGTGTGTGCCTTTTCCTTCCCTTTTCCTTCACAACTGCTCCAGCCTGATCGCATAAACCCAGATGACATAGATTTAGAAAATGAACCCTGGTATAAGTTCTTTTCAGAACTGGAGTTTGGACGTCCGGTAAGTGAGGACAGAATATTAAAAAATATTTTTATATGAATTGAACAATTACCAACTTCAGCAAACATATCCCAGTAAAGTTAATGTGACCTTTTTTGAGAAAGGTCAATACAGTCATCTAATGCATATAACATTTTTTTTTCTTAAAGTGGAGCCCTAACTTGCCAGGGTTGTGACTTTAATAACTTAAATATGGACTATACATTAGGGCTGGATTAGGTTCAATTTCTAATTTCCAGGAGAATGCCCTGGGAAGCAGCCACCTTCTTGTACCTGCTCAAACACCAACTGCAGAACCTGCAGCTACATCAGTGAGAGAAAAAGAGAAAGCAAACAACATATTTTCCTTTAAAAGTTGTTGTCCAGTGTATCAAATTTATCACTGATTACCTTTTATCTCCTTTTGTCTAGCCATTGAAGCTGTTTTGTCATTCCTCCGCATAGGTAGGCAGAAACAGTCCAGATACATTCTTCTGAAAACGATATGTTAACAGTTTTACTCATAATGATAATATCATTTTTATTATTTTATTCTCTCAATTATATCATTGAGAGAGAGAGAGTGGAGAGTGCCTCCTCTGAGATGAAGAATGTTGAGGCTTATCCCACAAAAATGTATCTATGACACCTTATGCTGTCTCACCAGTATTAAATACAGCTAGTACTGATTCAGTCATTCCATTGTAAATTTTACCACCTAAAGTTACTAACATATTACTTAGATGCTTAAAAAATTACGAACACTATAACACATTCTTTCTCCCATTTTACCCATTTGTGTCACTCTTGTAGCTGATGTTGTCAACACTTAGTTTCTAACTGTGTCACCTTCTCCACATTTCATTCCTTGCTGCCATTGATTCTCCTCCATTCCATCTCTACACTTCTGCTTATATGATGCAGCCACCTAAAAAGCTTTTGGACTATGTTCAAGACAGTTCTTCTGGTGTTTCCAATGAGGTAAATGAATGATTCTTGTTCAGGTGATTCTCTTGGGAAGAAGGATTGGCATGCTTGCTCTTTGTGTCTGTTTGTTAGAATTTTGTGGGTTCCTCCTGATATTTATTAGAAGTTTCTAATTCATGATCACTGTGTCTTTGTCTTCATATTTTTCCAGATCACTAATGCATTTGGATGTTGATCTTATTATCCTAGGAACTGTGAGTTCTTATCCCCAAAGCTGCTCAGAGATTAACAATCTGAACTACGCAACAGCTCATGTGTCTCTAAATCTTGACCAATTCCAACTTCTTCAGAGTTGGGCAAGTGTGTTGCTCTCACACACAATTAATACATCAGCACAATATTATCTTTTATTAAAATATCTGACTGCAAATTCTATATGTCAAGTCAAAGCCTTTGTGACTGAGCTTCTCCAATTAAGTACTTCTGACTGAAGTCTGGAAACTGAAAATTTATAATCCTGTTGTAAATTTGCAACTGCAGAATTGGCAGCCGCTGAATAAAATATATGAGGCTGTCACTGCCCTACTCTGAATGGGAGAGATGCAGGCTTTCATTCTTTCTCCTATTTGCTCCCATTTTTAGAGTGTTAGGGCAAAAGTCAGTGACTCCAGCAATAACAACTCTACTTCATACAGTGGCTTTGCTTTTGTCATATTTGTGATTCACTTCCTTGGAATCTCCAAAAATTGAACAAAAATTGTGACCTTAAATTGTTACTTGTGTTGCTGATTACTCTGACTTGTTTTTAAGCTCTATAAACTTGGAAAAACTTTACAGTTGTGAAATTTAGGCCCAGTTCTCTGAGTAAATAAATAAACTTCTAGGCCTTTCCTGCTCTATGTATTAGAAGACAGTGTAAGAATCCTAGCATAAAAAATTATTTGGAATATAATCATGTTCGGCAAGTCTGGGTAAAGTAAATATTCAACAAATTGGTTTTGTCTTTGTTTAACTTACAAAGGCACTCATCTTTTGTTTTGAAAATTTAAAAGTCTTTAAATTTAACTCCTGTTTGGAAATTACAGTGAATTCAGTATTTTTTCTGCAGAAAATATCGTGGAACAACTCATTAAAACATTAGAAGCATGATACAAACAAACCTGTTTGTTGTTTTTAACTTTTGCCTACCTTCTTCATTCTCAGACACCATTAAAGCTTTGATGCATGAAAACATCTATAACGTTGGCTTAACTGTATATACATATTTCACCTCTTTTGGTAAAACTGTATCAAAGTATTCAGTAAAATTTGTATTTGTAGGTTGCTATGGTTGTTTCTAACACTAAATTGTTTTTGTCAGGCAGCTGCCAACAGTGGAAATGATAAGCAACTATATCCACTACTTGGTTTCACCTTTTCCCTCTATCAGTGTGGTTATACCAGTGGGTAGAAGGTATAAACTTCACTACGGATAACAATGTATGTGTGTGTTAATAATTGGTATGGTATGGTACAGCATATATGCCTCCGTATGTCTTCCAAAATCTTCAAAAGACTGCATCAAAGGGGAAAAAGAGCATGTTACATCCGAGGTGATATCTTAAAGGAAGGAAAGGAAAAGCTGTGTAGCAGCACAGCAGTCTGTTTTTGGATGACACGCATTTTTTTCTGTCTTAGGCTGATTGCTAACATGCTATATGCAATCTGGGGAGTGCTGCGGATAAAGAAGCGCTTTGTGGTTTTGCTTCAGTTGTGTGGTTTACCTGTTGCCTTCCATAGGAGCCAATGGGAGCTATGCTGCCCTCAGGATTTGCGTTATGGTCTGTATGACCCTGCAGTCATTACAAGGGGTGAGAGCTCTCCCTGCCTCAGGTGTTTGGTTTGTATCCTGTGACACATGGCCCGGTCTGCCTCTGACTGGAATGGCACCTGCACAGACGGCCTGCAGTGACAGTGCTGTGCTTGCACTGCCTCACAGGCAGTTTGAGGTTGAGGCTTATAGTGCTAGGCGGCTTTGAAATAAGATTTGTATTTGACAGAACATGTGTTTTGTAGATGTTCCTTCTGTGTGGCAGTGCAGCCTTCTTCACTGTGCTGTGTGGCGGCATGTGGAAAACTGGGGTTACTCTGTTGGTGCCAGCAGCTGTGCCAACGCTGGCTTTTGTGGTTTTGCTGCAGACAGATTTTGTATTTAGATGTGTTTTGTTAAAACTTTGACACTGGACACTTGAAAATTGGCATATAGCAGTTTTCAGCTTTCAGAAGATCTAAAGAAAAGCTTGAAAATATGAACTGAACAGTAAAAGACTCAGGACCTCCTTCTGAATGTACTCTAAAAACAAATATCATGATATTTTGTTCAGGTGGGCTGAGTTAAAAGGAATGCACTCATTATCCCCACATGTGTTCCAAATATAAAATAGGGATCATTTCATAAGCGATGCCAGCAGGTTTATTGCCCTTTTGAGAATGTTTGACGATGATCAGCACACCTCTGTAACAGAAGCAGCTTCAAAGCACAGGCTTCTACTTACACTGCTGTTGGGAAAGTGCATTAACTCTTCACTTGATCCTAGAGCAGACATAAGGTTTTGTATCACAGGACCCCTTCTCTGTAACTTGCAGGTCCACTGACTTTATGAGATAAGTTACAGTACACGAAATGCTTTGGTGAACAATTACCCATTTCTGTTCTTCGCTTTAAAATAAAAAAACTAATAGTGGATTGTATTAGTAAAGTCATACATAGGTTGTTTATCACCTAAGAGCAGTGCAATGGCAAACAATTTAAAAAGAAAGCAAATCTGTGTTTTACTGGGAAAGTGAAACTTGTAAGAAGTAGCTTTGCATTCACATGAAGAAAAATAGGTTGGTTTTAGCAAATAAAAAAAATATATATTATGTTGTGATAAAGCATGACTGTATTCCACAGTCCTGTGCGCACTCACTCTCATGTGCTTACACAGTGATAAGTGTTACTTCCGCAATCCTTTGGTATGGAGAAAAATCTGTAAAAAAAAAAATCCTATTTAGAGAATAAGTCTAGAAGGCTTCTACAGAGAGGAAAAATAGTTGACCATGAATGTAAGGTGGCCAATAATTGGCCAGAAAAATCCAGGGTCTTTCAGCAGGTTTTGCTTCTGGCTATAACTGATTGTGAAATTCTGGTGAGTAATTGAGATGGAGGAGAAGCTTTGCAGATGTTGCTTTGTACAAGGAGGAATCGTTTTCAGATTTTTATGTTTCATAGTCAAAGATAATTTCAAGTGCTGTGCATCCATTTTTGAAAACAGTATAGAGAAGCATGGCTCTAAATCATTATTTTAGTGCTTTAAAAACAAAAATATAACTGAAATAGAAGACAGAAATAAATCAAGCGATGCTTTTTAGAAACTGCCTTACTGAATATTGCAGTATCTCTGTGCTGGAGCACATAGTATGTTGATCACTGTGGTCTGTTTTTATAGGATGTCACGGAGTAGCAAACATAATAATCCAAAACTGTAAGCAGAAATTGTCACCTTTTTTTCATATATAGGCATATAACAGATTTATGTATTTGTTTTCACAGACATCCTTATATCATCACTCTTCAACAGACAGAGGCCTGGACAGGCCTTCCAGGTAAGAAATACAGTATGTGTGACTTCAGTGCACATTTCACAACCTAAGGGCTTTCTTTGTGACCTGAAGCCAGCAGATGTTGAAGAGTCAAATATTAAATTTCACCTTGTGGATTCCTAAGATACATGGAGGTACATGGAGAGGATGTTCATATTTTGATACTCAAGTGCAATTCTTAGTTTTGTTTTTCAAGGATTTACTGTTTGCATTCAGTGTAATCCATGCTGTATTCTGGGTCTTTCCAGTGACATCCCTGAGCTTCTCAGCTTCAACACTCCTTCATTTATTCTTACTGCTTGCAACGCTTTTCTGTGCTGTTCCCAGAAGCTTGTTACCTCACCTGTTCTATCGCCTTTTCTCATCTTTACACTGAACCTCTACTCTAGTGCTAACAGCAACTTACCATTTAATTTTTTGTCTGTAGCTGCATTTTACTACTCACACTGTTATTTCCTACTCATAAAGGCATCTCTTTTAACATCTTATTCGGCATCCTTAATAATCAGACTGCTTAACCTGAATGCATCTCAGTTTGGTAGAGCTATCTCAGTAGCCAGATCTCCTGGTGATACTGTCACCTGATCAAAATTAATATGGAAAGACTTTCAAATCATTAGTGGCTGATACTTTTGCAGTATTTCAGAATTTACTCTAAAAAGCTTGGTACATTTATTCCAAAGTCATCATTATGAAAGCAATATAACAATTTTATATGAAACTTCGATACAATCAAGTGAAGAAAAAATTCAGCTTTTTTCTGTGAAATGTGCTGTAAGAGAGCTGAGCCCAGTGCTTCTCCCCTGTGCATGTTTCAGATGTATTTCTTCTGGCATTGCTCAATCCATAAGCAAATAATGCAATTACGAGCTTGCTTTTTAATTACTGAGTTGTTATTACAGAGATGAGGCTGCTACTAATACTGGTTGTTTTTATAGTTCTGCAAGTACTGCGAGTGACTATAGGAAAAGGAGGAAGTCAGAACCTGCTGTAAGTCATCAGAGAGCACACAGTGATCAGAATGCAAACAGGCCCAGCCTGGGCCGTACAGATATGCAAGGCCCATACACCACCCTTAGAAAGCCTTTAACTAGCTCGTCTCCTTCTTCTCCATCACGAGCAAAAGGTAAGAGGACATCATATTTGTTAGGAGGAAATCTGATGATGACATGTTGCACAATCTCTTGGTAGTAAATACAACTGTTGTCCACTGTTGCTGAGTGCACGCTGTAGGGAGATTTACTGTATGAGGGGCTTTGGACCTTTCCTTAAAGACTAACTTGTTTATCTTTACACGTGTGTGCGATTCTAAGCTGATCAAAAGCTGGACTTGTAGTAAGGGTTTTCCAGTTTCATTTGCCCCTTCTAGGACACAGAAAATTGGTTTGTTAATAAAACTTTAAGGAATTTTACATTACGGTAAAAATCATATTCTTAATTAAAGTGCACTTTTTTCTCTTAGTATACTGTTCTTAGGGTATGGAGAAAATAAATCAGGACAAATGCTACATGAGATTAAAGATGTGTTTCCATAATAGCAGACCTTCAGTTCAATAGCTGGTGTCTTAGATAGCATCAGTTATTGGGACCTACTTTAATCAAGCAAATATTCATAGTCAGATTTTTAATTTCATAAATCACAGAATGGCCTGGGTTGAAAGGGACCATCACGATTATCTAGTTTCAACCCCCCTGCTATGTGCAGCATCATCAGCCGCTAGACCAGGCTGCCCAGAGCCACATCCAGAATCCTTGAAGTACTCACTACACAATATACAATCTAGATTTTTGGGTTTTTGTTTTTGTTTTTTTTTTTCCAAGTAACTTATGGTCTCACTGCTGTTCTCCATGTCTCTCCAGAAAAGAGACACTGGAATTAGGCAGTTTAGTTTGGGAGTTTTAGGTGTTTTTATTAGCAAGACAAAAAGTTTCCAGCAAAATATATAATGGATGTAATATACAGAGTACTATCTACTACAATATCCATCCTTGTATCAAAGAAAAACAGTGAGAAATACTAAGAATGAAGTGATAGAAGAACAGATTTATTTTAAAACCACTGTTAAGATCAGTTAAAAAATAATCTCATCCATTTGGTGCACCAGAGCAGACAGTGAAAAGGTGGTAAACTCGGTCCAACCGCATTTACTTTTTACTGCACCACCTGTCAACTATATGAACATTAATCAGATCAAAAACTCTGTACAGCTTTCAGAATACACATTTTTGAAATATAGTTAAGCCAGTATTTGAAACATAGTTAAGAATGTATAACGGAATAATTTCTTAAACTCAGCATATACTAATAACAAATTTAAATTAACTAAGAGATACAAATTTTGTCCCATTTTTACACTTTCTGTACTTATCATTTAATTTGATTACCACAGGGGAAAAAAAAAAGTGATCTATTTAAACATAAAAAGTGATGGTCTTAGCTCTAGGGATAAAACACTTCAATTTATCTCAAAGTTATAATTCTGGAGTCTAGATTTTTGGTTTGATTTTTTTTTTTTTTTTTTTTTTTACCCACTTCATGATCAATATTGACAATTGTTTTCTTACACTGTTTTGTTTTTGTTTGGGAGGCGGACATCACCACAATTCTTAAGGAATTTGGATTTATTTTTTTCAATGTTCAAATTATCATAAGAGCGTTATTAAAGCTGGAAAAGGGTTTATTAGCTCTGCAGTCCTGGTCTGTAGAAACGCATGTGCTGTTCAAAGCTGACAGAACAGATGCACTAATGGCTGTCTCTTTTCTAGTCTTTCTGATACTTACTGATATTAATTCCAACTTTCTGAATCTTTTAATTTCTGGCAATGTCTCTCTTTTATCATGCTGCTCTATGGATTATAAAGGTGGGGATATTAGCAAAGTATATCCATCCCTCCTCAGTTATTCAGTGCACAACCACAACACCTCAAATGAATTAGATTACTGTAGCACTTACAGACAACATTTAGCTGTTCCTAATGATTCAAGGAGGGCAATCAGCTACAAGAATGGCTGGCAAATGACTCGACAAAATGCAGAAGTATGGAGCAGCACAGAAGAAACCACTTCTCCAAAGAGAAAATCTCGTAGCTGTGATGATCTTTTAACAGATGATCGGGATGGCTTTCCCGATGCACAGGCCAAGTCTGAAAGCATGGTCTCTCTTCTATGTGAGGAGGATGCTAAAGAGGTTTGCTCAATGAACTGGGCATCCCCATATGCACCTGAGGGCCGTGGTGGTGGTAGGGCAAGAGTTCGTCACAGATCTGCGCACGATGCCCCAGGTTTCCTTAAAATGTACAAAAAGATGCATCGTATCAATCGCAAGGACTTGATGAACTCGGAGGTGATCTGTTCTGTGAAGTCCAGAATACTGCAGTATGAAAAAGAACAGCATAAAGGTATCCTTCAGGGCTGGAGAGAATCTTCTACGGAAGAGGTGCCCAGAGATATGGTGCCAACCAGAATATCGGAATTTGAAAAACTAATTCAGAAGTCAAAATCAATGCCAAATCTGGGTGATGAAATGTTGTCAAACATTACACTAGAGCCTCCTAAAAATGGTTTATGTTCACAGCGGCGATTTTCTATCGAGTCTCTGCTGGAGGAAGAAAATGAAGTCAGACATCCCTCTCAGGTACAACGGAGCTACAAGTCTAAAACCCTGGTGCCAATTCATATTGAAGTGACCAGTGATGAGCCACAGCGGTCACATATGGATTTCTCAGACAGTGATCAAGATGGAGTGGTTTCTGACCTCAGTGACTTTATCCAGATAGAGGGGTCATCCTTTTGTAGTGAAAGTGACTTCGATCACTATTCCTTCACATCATCTGAAAGCTTTTATGGATCGGGCCATCACCACCACCACCACCACCACCATCACAGGCATCTCATCAGCTCCTGCAAAGGGAGATGCCCAGCGTCCTACACCCGCTTCACCACCATGTTGAAACATGAAAGGGCTAAACAAGAACCTGCTGAAGATCCAAGGAGACAGGAGGCAGAATCTGGCCTCTCCAAGATAGCATTCCTAGTCAGCCCAGTGCCTTTCCGAAGGAAAAAAAGTGCAGCCCCTAAAAAACAAACTGAAAAGACAAAACGTAAGTCATCTGTATTTGAAGCACTAGATTCTGCACTTAAAGACATCTGTGACCAAATAAAAGCTGAAAAAAGAAGGGGAAGCTTGCCTGACAATAGTATATTACACAGACTGATTACTGAGCTGCTTCCAGACATTCCAGAAAGGAATTCATCTCTTACAGCTCTGAAAAAGAGTCCCATGCACCAGCCTTTTCATCCACTGCCTCAAGATGGTGCTACTCATTGCCCACTTTACCAGAATGATTGTGGAAGATTACCTCTTAGTGCCTCTCTCCAAGACATGGACACAACTAACAACAATAACCAAGAAAATGATAGTGCACTGTGTTTCCAAGGTGGATTCACTTTCTTCCTCTATCCTTGTGATTTATTCCCTGTATTTCCCACCCTTTCTCATTCCATTTTTATTTGTGTAGTATATAAGAGCAATTCATTCCACAAAACTAATGCAGGAAGACTGTTATTTTTACATCATCACAAAACTAGAAAAATGTGTTGTCTGTTCACAAAATGAAGTAATCTGGACAACTGGATAAGTGGTGTATTTCAACTATTAGATAATTAGTGCTATAAATAATAGTGGTGTTATTAACTTAAGCAAGTCCAAAACAAACCTTACAGAAAGTGAATGGATGTGACAGGATGCATCATTAAGATGCTGGTCAAGCAGAAAATAATACGCAGGGAGCTTTTCCTTGAATATTTAAACCAAAAATATCAGCATTAAAAGCTATATAGTAAAATGTCTAATTGATAAAAATGCTGTTAATTCTGCCACCGTAATAGAGTTGTTCCTGTTTTTTCATGAAAATATACTAATTCCATTGCTTCATATTACTTTTTGTGAATAGACCTGTAAATTATTTTAGGAAGTTTTCATTTTCAATGTTCAAATGGTTTACAATCTCTGTGACAGTAAAACTAATTCTTCTCAGAAAATCTTAATGTAACTATGAGGTTTTCAGAAATACCTTATCACAGAAGAGAAATTCTCAATAATCAAACCTTTAAAGAAAGCTGTCCACAATTGGAACTATGATAAACTTGCTGGGGATGACACGCTTGCATCCAACAACCAAGCGATGCAGTTAAATAATTTTTGCCCCCACAGTATTTATCAATAGCCTGAAGTCCTCCTGGCTTCGCCAACAGCCCATTGAGGTCTCTGTTCTGTAAAACTGCAACATAATGCAGAAGTTTTTAATTCTATTTTTCCACTTGTACTTAGAAATGTATAAGCTTAGTAAGAACAGATCATGTGAATGAAGTCAAAGAGAGGCAAATATCAGTCAGAAGCGTCCTGCAGCCAACGTTAGGAAACTGCAATTGCTAGTAAATCTCAGAAGTAAAGGGACAGTTTATTTCATTCTCTGATCTGAAATAATTCCATTACATTTTAATTCACACTGGAAACTTATCAAGCAGTAGAAAGTGCAAGATTTTTCTTTTGTTAAAATACAAAAAAGGTATTGCCATCCTCTAGTGTACCATCCTCTAGTAAACATTGGAAAACTATGCTTTAGTGAGAATCTGCCACAGAGATTGGTAATGATAATTCCATCTTTTTATGAAATAAAACTACTAACAAGCTGGCCTATTGAAGAAAAATCATTTCTTCTTATTATCTCATTGAGGCATGCTTTAGTCATGTTTTGTGCATGTAATTGTGATTATATTGCTGGCATTCAGAAAAGCTTCTCAACCTGATAAAGTCTCAGTACTTCCGTCGTGTCTTCCATTTGGTCCAGCAGGAATGCATCACTTCATACAGTAAGGCATAATTTTGCTCTTCCCACTCTCTGTTACACATTCTTCTGCTGTGGATCAGAGGAAAGGCTGGGCTTAAGAGTTGGTATCTTTGTTTTTTAAAGGTCAACTTTAACCATAACATAACATGCTTTAAATGTGAAATTATAGAGTCAGTATCTCTTTTCTTTTAAAAGATACCAAGCAATATTCTAGATTTCAATGTGTTTATTTTACCACAGTTTCACATAATGATGTTCTGTTTTCAGTAGACCAGGAAACTCCTGGAAACTATTCTGCTTTCACCGATGTGGGACAATGTACTCCAAGGGACAGAAGAGGAGCTACAGATAAAGAGGTAGCAAACCAAAAATAAATAATGCAGCAATATCCATATGGAAAATCAGTAACATTTCTGAGACAAGATTTTTGTTGGTTATAAGACAACATAGTGATACAGAAAAAAGGAAGTGCAACTCAACACAGTATTTAGGTGGGACAGAATCTTTCTTTTTCATTAAAGAGACAGGTATGTAAAGCAAAAGAATATCAAACAACATAAGATAAGCTGCATCTTCTACTTACATTTAAATGGACGTGGAAATATCACATTTTTCAACCACACAAAAAACTGCCTTAACAGTTTCAAGCCTAACATCTGTAATCCATCATTACTTTTGTGTTAAAAGAGGAAAAAAATACTGCTGTTGGTGTATTATACAAAAAGCATTATCCTAACAGCAATCCCTAATTTCTGTAATAGCTCTGGTGATCGTGATTGTCTGCCAATTACTTATTTTAATGCTTTGGCAAAGGGAATGGAAGCAGATGTACAATCTCTAAAGAAAATAACACAAATTATCACTTGAAATATGCTTAAGAGAGTGATATACTCTTTTTGTGTGTGTGTGTGTGTGTGTGTGTGTGTGTGTGTTCTAGAACTTGAAGCACTCTATAACCAGGCTTCAGAGATTTTATTCAGTCGTATATTTATATTAATTTATATTTTTATATTAATTATTTACATCTGTAGACTACAGATTACATTTTCCATTAATCTGAATACAGTACACTCGAGTGTACTGGATGGAAAGATTGCTCATTACAAATTAACAGTTAAAAAAAGTTTCAGGAGGTGTATTGGGCATGTAAAGAATTCTGAGTTCCAATATGAAAAGGCGTTAGGTATATAAGAATGGCTTGTAGTGTAAGACTGCTATAATTTAAAAAAACAATGAGAGGACAAAAGACCTATATTTTGAATCTGTTTTGTAGATTTTGCATTCAGTCAGTCCCACTGTTCTTTTAATACTATCTCCATTCTTTCATTCTTTGGTTTATCAGTTACAGTACTAAAAAAGAAACAAACAAGCAAAATCAGTAAAGACTAAAAAAACCCCAAAAACCTAACAAAAAGAATATCCCCTCTCCTCCAAAATCAATTTTAATAACAGCAGAGAAGAGAAAAACGCTTTATATTTAGGCCATCCGTTATATCAGTATCAAAAAACATCATTTGACAGGATCCCTTTAATAACTTTGGGGACTTTTTTTTTTTTTTTTTTATTAAAGACAGTGCTTTGGGTAGGTGCTGGTTCTATTTTTAAAATGCTGTCCCAAATACCTAACGACCTCAGAAAAGTAATTTGCATATTTAATTACCCAAAAAGAGCCTCACTGTGAGAACTGCGGTAAAGTACGTGCACTTCTTTTATTAGATCTTGGTCACCTTTTTAAAAGCTAAAAATTGTTTGCCATATAGTAATACTACCTGAATGTGTTAATCATCTTGCCTACTTTTCAGAAACTGCCAGCTAGAGCTGTATATGACTTTAAAGCTCAAACTTCTAAGTAAGTACTAGACTTTTGTTCCTTTAAGTATTCATAGTCAAGGAAAATCTTTCTAGCGCTTGACACAGCTACCTGCTGTTAAAGCCAGTTTCTACAGCCAAATGCCATGAAAGAAAAGGACCCCAACTGCTGTCACAACAGCTTCTGCATTAGCATGCTGTATAAGAAGTTTTGTAATTAAAATGTTGTAAATTATTCTATTTTCCATTGTGCGTACTTGAACATGTGAGTGGCTGTGCATCTTCACCTTCCTATAGCAAGTCCTCAGGGTTGCCCACTGAATGGTCTTTGTTGTAAATCATATTTAGGTTGCATAAAGTAGCATGCTTAATGTGCTCTTGTAGACAGATTACTTTCTTACCAGAATTCTGCACAGTGCTTCAGAATCTTTCATACATCTTGTCTTACCACAGATTTTCTGCAGGATGTAACATATCCCGTACCAAGATAAACTGTAGTGGTCTGTCAGGGAAAAAATAAATAAATAAAAATAAAAATCAGAAAACACTGGTCTAGGATTGAGGAAGCCAGAGGAGAACATCATACTTCATTACTGCTGTTACTTTGGTGATCCAGGGTGTTCAAGTGTTCTTTAGATGAAGTACAACATTGTCAGTAATATTGCATTAGCTGTGTAAACTGACAACTTGAATTATCAGAACAGCAGATTAGGGCCTGAAAAAAAGACACTACAGCAAATACCACCCAGGCCAGGTACTGAAGATGTTTTTGATGATTTTGATAATTCCCTTTTTCAGTGTCCAACATTAAGCATATCACAGGCCTTGATTCTCAGAAATGGTGAGAACATAATCATGCTTCTGATCATCTTGGTCTCAAAAGAAAAACAGTTGACACAGAAGCACTCTAAGCGATGCTGCTGCAGAAAGGTAGTAATTGGGCACAGAAGCATGCAATGTGTTCAGTAGCTTTCCCTACCAATTTGTCAAGAACACCAAGTATGCCTCTGATACCCGTCAAAACACCTGCATCTAAACAGGGGACATTGAAGTCATCATGCTTGCCTACAGACACTATACTGTCCCCTCTGATAATAACTACAAATACTTTCTTGGAGGTAAAAGTTAGGCCTATATGACTTACCAATCCAGTGTTCATAAATGTGAATTGTTTTGTTTCGTAGGGTATAATCAACTGGTAAGTGTACCACAGCTATGACATCTTTTCTCCAAATGTTTAGTTGCTACATTTTGTTTCAGTTTTGAACTTAGAAACAGCAGGAGCTATGCAGGTAGAGGAGTTCAAATGTAAAGTTATAAACACCCAATTTAAATGAATCTGTTACAGAGAGCTGTCCTTTAAGAAAGGAGATACTGTCTATATCCTCAGGAAAATTGATCAAAACTGGTATGAAGGTGAGCACCATGGAAGAGTTGGAATATTCCCAATTTCTTATGTTGAGGTTTGTTCTTTGTTTTAATTCCTTGAATTATTTTGGGTAACAGATTCACAAGCTACGTGCAAATGATTAAAATCTGTTGGTATTTTTCTCCCTAGAAGCTTTCTCCTCCAGAAAAAGCACAGCCTGCCAGGCCGCCTCCTCCTGCACAGATTGGAGAGATTGGAGAAGCTATTGCCAAATATAATTTCAGTGCAGACACAAATGTGGAGTTATCACTTAGAAAGGTACAGCTTACAACTATTTTTTATCAAAATAACATTATGATGTCTACTGCTAAACTGAATTAATATATACATAATTAGTGCTTTGGTACTAAATTTGCCATGCACAAAGCAGTGTAATGTTAGAAAGCTGCTGACATATGCTCATTAGCTTGCATTCTTTCCCAGCTGCCTGCAAATAGCTTAAATATTTTGTGTATATAAATATAATTGCTATATGCAAACACCCTCGAACTGGCAACCCAGTTTTCTACTTTTCATTTTAATTATCCATTGACCTTTTTAGGAATTGTTACTGTCTTCATTATCACAGTGAGGCTTCTACTACTGGAGAAATAAAAATGCAGAAAATAGAAAACAGCAAAATTCAGAAGAAAGGCTCAGACATGTCTGTGAAAGTACTGGCTCTTGCAAATTTATCATCTTAGTAATAGTCTGCTCTTTCTTACATATTCCTGTTATGTCTATACACACACATGTTGGTGACGATCCTTTATTATACATGATCAAAACAAGTGTTTAATTGCTGGGGTTTTTCTGACTGAGATACTCGTGCTGTAGGAACTTTATTATTCGAGGTATTATGCACTCAGTTATAAGTATTACATATTCTTTACCCACTGGAAAATTTTACCTCATTTATTTTCTGTTTTAAATGAGTTAATGTTCATAGAGGTTATTCAGTGTTCCTCCTTTTGTGTAAAACTAAGGATACAGCTTTTTGATGCTGAATTAATACCTAATCTAGCATCACTGAAGGTAATGGGTATTTTTCCACTTGTTTGAGACTGGTGCATTTTAAAGAGGTCCAGAAAAAAAATATCAGGAATAGAAACAGAACTAGAGGTGGGAGGCAGTTTGATTTTTTTTTTTTTTAATTCCCTTTCATGCTGATTGTGGTGGTCACTATCTTGTCAGCCCTATTTTGGTTTGTTTTTAAAAGTTACATTTCCATCTTAATAATGATAACTTTAGGGTACTCCACAAATCTACTACAGAAACCTAAGAACAAAAAACTAATAGGGAAGAATTGCTTTAAAAAGACAGAGTAAAAAGCACATCACATCAAACAAAAGAAGGAGCTCATTAAGTTTCAAAACTTAAGACAGAGATGTTTGAATAAAAAGTTGCTATTTTCCATTTCAGTTTCTAGGCTCTCTAAAAACAGTAAGTGAGCCACTGCCCATCTGTCTTCTTACACAGATACCTGCTTGTGCAGCATGCTCAGTGGGAAAAGCATTTCTCTCTTTTTCCCCATGAAGTAATTTTGAACGTTTCATTTTCACTTTTATAATTTTACTTGATAATAAAGCACACGCGTGGATTTAATTATTTAACTTCTATTACCCTTAGGGAAAATGGGGCATTTAAATTTATGCAGTCAGGGGTTGTGGACACTTCATCCCTGGAGGTGCTCAAGAGCAGGTTGGATAGGGCTCTGGGCAACCTGCTGTAGTACCAGATCTGGAGGTTGGTGGCCCTGCATGTGGCAGTGAGGTTGGAATTTGATAATCCTTGGGGTCTCTTCCAACCCAAGCCATTCTAGGATTATTCCATATTACAGTTGGGGTGTTAGCTAGTAGACTGGCCAACAATTTAAACAGGTTGTGCTCCTATGAAAAGTTTATATTAGCCCTCCAACCATAAGAATAGCGAGAGCAGTCTGTAACGATCCTCCTTTTGCTGGAATGGTAACTGTTTATGTGGTTATTATAAATGGCAGGAGAAAGGTGAAGGCAGAAACACTACTGCGGGGAAATAATTCTGTGCATTAAAATAAGATCAGTGATTTAAAAAAAAAGTTACTACTCATCTGCTGATAACACATTTTTATAATGCATTCCAGGGAGACAGAGTCATACTTCTTAAGCGGGTTGATCAAAACTGGTATGAAGGTAAAATACCAGGAACCAACAGACAAGGCATCTTCCCTGTTTCCTACGTAGAAGTTATCAAAAAGAATGCATCAAAAAGTGCTGATGACTACCCTGATCCTCCTATACCCCAAAGTTATTCTAGTGACAGAATACACAATTTAAGTTCAACTAAGGTAAGGATTGTTCTTCTTTGATATCACTCCTAGAGTGGGTTTAGAAGGACTTGTAAATTTTTTGTTAATGTGATAATACATTATTTATGCATTCAGTACACTCTTTTCTTTCTTAAATATATACTGCATTTGTAGAAGTGCATTACAAACTTGTCACTGAAGTATTTTAATGAAAGCTTTACATTCTGCCAGAATAGTTGCTCAGGAAAAAAAAAAAAACAAAAAACAAAAAACCAAACACTGTGGAGTGTAGGACAGAATTTGAGCATCAAGGATATGTTTAGCAAATTCTTCATAATGCAACGTGAAGACATATCTGTCATCATAAAAGCCTGCAATCCCATAAGCATGCAAAGGGCATGAGAGGGTAGTTTACAAGGGGACACAGCTTGCCAAGAGCAAAGCTATGCCTTTCAGTGTAAAAGAGAACAGATAGCGATTCTGTACTGTAACCTTCCTCCTTTTGCCAATGACACTCTACAAGGAAGCTGTTGGTTGAAGAGCAGTTCTTTATAGTGGTATGACAACAGTGACAGCATTGTATCATTCAGTAGTTAGTAATATGTCAGCACATTTTCAGTGTTTGGATTCAGACCTTCATAGCTGTGATTTTTCACACCAAACACGTCATAGTTCCTGAATTATTTTCCTTCTAGTTCATAACTACCACAAATCATGTTACAAAAAAAGATTCCTGTATTCCACTTTATCATTCACTTTCAATATTTCACAGTATTCTTTTCAGATATAGAATCAATAAAGCTTCTGTATACAAATTGTGATTAGTATTAATGCATTATCAATCAATGATTTTGAATGCTAAAGGTGGAATCTTTTCCAAATCTTTACCACTGTCGATCTGTCGATCTCACCATAGGGCAGTATGTTTTCTGTGAAATTTATAAAGCATCTATCTTGCCATTTGTTTGTTTCAGATGGTTTTCCCATTTTCTACTCTCACATACTTGCATACTGGTGCTTATTTAGATGCTTTGGGCTTTGGGATAAGTTCCATATTTATTTACAGCTTTTGGGACAGTCAGTTATAGGAACAGTGGTCTCTGATGATACTGCTTATGGCTTAGCAATATTAGTTGTTTTATAGTATTTGTTCACAGAGAAGTAGCAGCTCCTTTCTCTTCCATTCCAACAAAACTTTTGAACTGAAATAATATGAAGTTCTGTATCCTCAGAGTGAGGTATTCATGAGCTACAGCCTTTTCTCATTACAGTAAGCGGAAGGTCATTTAAGAGCATGAGGCAATTTAGGTGCTGCATGCTGCAGAACTGTCTATATTTGGAGACACCTCTCCCCCCATTTTCTGCGCATTTCCTGCAACTGAAGCTGGTTTTTGTCTAACCCTTATGATCTTGTCAGTGATCCCTTCCTGAGCACAAGTGATGCTTTGGAGTATTTACGTTCAGATAAAAAAAAAATAAAAAATACATGCATGTTAAAAAATTAGACTGTAATTTCTTACCTTTGTAAATTATTTAAATTCTTCTGTGAAAGTTGAAAAGCCTAGACTTCGGGAGCCTTCACGTGCCTCCTATATTCATTCACTCTCTCCATTTCAAAGTTATATTGAATATTGTCCAGAATTTTTAAATTTTTAAAGAAATAAATCAGGTAACAGCATTTTAGAATAGAAGATGAACCATTTAGTCAACATACCTTAATTGCATCCCGTGAGAGCTACAGAGCTATTGGTGGCTGCTCCTTTTCTAAAGCTGCTGTGATCATCTTGAGAGAGCAGGTGGAGAACATCCAGACATGCTACATGCTTCTCCTGTAGTCCACCTATGTTTGATACAGAGAGGTTATATGGACCAGATTTGCCTCCTCTTTGCAAGCAAGGATGAGATGAACTCATATCTTTCTTACTCTGTCATATCACAGCAGGTGTACATTTTCACCACTGTTTATGTTTTTAAATAGTGAAAATATTGCAGACACATTGGATTATAAATCTGTTCTGCCACTAATGTTATGTAATAGATTAGTTCTCAAGTGAAGGAGAGGGGCATTAGGCAATAAAAATAAATAAAGAGAACAAAGCTTGCTTTTGATTTATATTAACTTGGCCTAGAGCATCTGTATCTTTAGTGCATCCTGTAGCCATAGGAAACTAAAACACTGGGCCATGTGATTTCTAAACCACAGCTCTGAAGCCTTTTTCCAAGACTAAACATGAGGGAAAGAGATGGAGTGTTGTTAGTAACACTCCAGCAATGTTTTAGCAGACCACACTATCAGTTTGGAGACTCTATACTTTGGTACAGAAGATTCTATAACAAAGATTTGTCTAACTTTAAAATAAAGCTATCTGCCTCAAGAAAATTCCAGTAAAAGGTAAGTAAATTAACATTTCTAATTCTAACAATGATGTCAAACCATTTTCATTCAATTTTAATTTTGAGGATTAATAGTTATAAAAATGCATTTTCAGTATTTACTGAAGCAATGGATATCTACTGATGCTGTGTACGTATGACTCACCAGTCTCATTCTTACAAAAGGACGTTTCTTTTACCAGAAGGATACTTCAATCAATATTATGTAATGGTACTCAAAATATACTGCTGTATACTGTGCTGTCACTATTTTAAAGCTTTGTTGTTGGCTGCCTACGTTCAGTCAGAATTGAGTGTACCTTTCACAAATGTTGATGTCATTTTAAACTGATAGGGTTACTTTCAACGAAAAATACTTATGCCTTAATAAAAGTATGCTATGTATTTAAGATGTTTCTTAAGCATGTACTGAGAAGTACAAATATGAACATTAGGATAATTAGAAATCACCTCAGATGTTAGAGCTTAACTTAAATTGCACCAGAAGTATTTTTTGACAATCCTATGCTCAAAATAATAGTAATGGTTTGGGGGAGGGGGAAGGGGGAGGGGGAAATCACATTAATTTTAATTGTATGATTTAATAACCTACGACAAGCTCACTAACAGAAAGCCATAAATAACATAACTTCAGCAGATCAAATGCAGGTCACCCTCATGAATGTAATGATCCAGATTTGTCTTGATGTTTGACATTTAAGCCGAGGCCAGAACCTGATACAGTTTCATTTTTCAAATGTCTTTTCTGCTGTTCTGATTCATGTACTAATGATTTCAGACACCCGTGCTCACTGAAATGATACCCTCTAATCCAGATGATGGCACAGACATTTGGCTTTCCAGTCTACTCATATCCCAGCTCTCTGTCATGCTTATTGATTTAAATTCCCATGTTTTTCTTATTTTTTTTAAGTTGCCTTTCCAAGCACTATCCCCACCTCCCAGATACCATTTCTCCTCTTGGTCACCCAATGATCAAAAGACACTCCAGGATGCCACTAGTGATTCATTTTCCAGGACGGATGGTTTTTCACCTTCAAGCTTACGTATCTTACCACCTCCACAATTTCCAGACAGTTTTCTTTCTAACTTAGAAGAACTCAGTTCTTTGGCATTAACATCCCAATCTTTAGCAATCTCCCCAAATAGTAGCATTCATCAAGTTAAGGGAAATGATTTTATTCCAAATACAGAGATCTCTCTGAGCTCCACTACAGCTCTTCCTCAGTCTTTTCTCGTATCTGCCTCCATCTCACCTTCAGCCAGTTCATCTCATGACTTAACATATAAGCATGAAAGCAACAATACTGAACTAAGAAAATATAAAGACTTGAGAACTGAGAAGCCAAGTACATCTCTCAAGATGCCTAGAGACTTATCAGATACTACCACAGAAGATGAACATGTTTTCTCTACCTGCAACATCCCTTTACTACATAAGTGTAGTTCCATCTCTGCCATGCCAGATGCAAATGCTGAAAATGAAGATGAAATCTGTACAGCAGATCTGTCAATTGACCTAGGAGATCAGTCAGAGCCTCAAGAATCAGATTTCTACAGAGAATCAGAAGACACAACAGAAGAACTGATAAAACTCTATATAGAGGAGGATCTGATACATGATGATTTAGTGTTTCCTGTAGGAAGTAGAGGAGATTCCATAGTATGTTGTGAAGGATGCACCTCACCGAGTATCTATAAGGTATTTTAATTTCCAAAAATCATGGCTTCTGTGTTCAGATAAGTAACTTAGTATAATTTTTCTCTTCTTTTCCTTGTATTTATGTTTTTGTACTGTGTGCAGGCACAGTTTTATTCTATGGTGTTGAATAAAAATTGTCAGTTAAAGCATAGTCCCTCCTCATAAGCAGGTGCTGACAACACTATGTTCTTGGGTATCTCAGTCCTGCTTCTCCTCTCCCTTCTTTCATTGTTGACTTCTCTCATCTTTCACAAAAAGTCAGGGAATCATTCTCCTCACTGTGCCACCCTTCTGAGCCCAGAAATGCTGTCAGCATTATTCAGAGGGAAGGATGCATCTCCTGTGGAGACTCAGGTGTTTGTACCTCACGTGTCACTTCACCAGCCGATATTTATAGTAGACTGTTTCTAGAATGTGACTAGAAGCAGATCAGATTGCGTTTGGCAGATTACGTTAAACATATCCTTCCCCATACAGCCTGCCCTGGTTCCCCTCTGGAACAGTGCAACAATGAACTATCTCCAATGCATGCTAGCCATTAAATGCTATGATGTTGCCACAGTTTGTGTCATTTCCAAGCAGTTTTAGAACAAAATTTCTCTGTCCAGCACTTATTTTCCAGAGCATTTGTTTTATGTGCTTGCATGAGCCACCCAAAGCAACTGCCTGAACAGTCTCACTCTTGAAACGTGTTAGGCCAAATGTAAAACTAATTAATGAGAAAGATTTTGCAGACTTCCTTTGCCCTTACTTGACCTCAATGACATGGGAGAAAACAGTAAAAGTAAAGGTGAAATCCACTGCCACAAATAATAATTTAATTTTTGAGGGAAGAATTTTCTTCCATAGTAGTAGATTGACAAATAATCAAAATTAGCATCCTATTTCTGACTGTCCATGTTTGTTACATGACTCCTTATTGTGTGTTTTAAATCCATAACATCTGGTTGTATAGCATAATTATTTATCATCTTTTTTAACTGTTTAAGACAGCTCTGCTTTCTACGAAAACATCAGAAGAGTCTGATACTCCTTTCCACTTTCATTCAAATCTACCATTTCACTCTGCCAACACATCAGCTTCTCACTCTGTTCTTACAACATCCCACTCTGCTGCTTCCCTCTCACCTCCTCTCATATCTAAACTTTTACATGAGCAGGAGAAAGATTCACTGAAGGTAAAGGTAACTGCACTTCTCAAGCATGGATTCTTGAAAATCTTCACTAATATTTAATAAGTGCAAGGCTAATCCTAAGCATCTATTGTTTCCCCTACTAACATTAAGTAACATAGCATGTGGAGGATTAAGGTAGGCCTTCTTCAAATGAAAAGTGAGGAAAAACTGTAATCTCTATAATATATTGAAATACACAGGTATCTCTAAAAGTAATGCCTCTTATTTTTTCCACGGAAACTACAACAGTTACAAGGAGCATGATAACACTATTTGATAGAGCAAATTTTCAGCTAAAAAGCACAGTCACTACCATTAGCAATGCATTTTTGCCAGAGGTAAGAACCTGCATGCTGCACTAGTGAAAACCTGTACCAGCCAAAGTGGATCCACCATTGTGGTCCCACTGCTGAAATGCACCGCCCACCACCTCAGTGTGTTCACACTCACTGTTTGGTCTCCATAAACATTCAGCAAGCACCAATGAATATCAGTGGGTACCATTTTTTCCATGTGGAGGAATTCAATGATGTACCTTTGGTTCATACTCGCTTCCATGCCAGACACCATGCTGTCAGATTGCCCCTCTGCTGCCATCCACCACACTGCAATAAACCGCAGTGGAATACAGATGGGAAGGTTTAACGTCTACTTCCATACCACTAACATCCACTTCTGACATCAGAGGCCAACGTAATATGAGACCTTACTTGTGAAGTAGCCCTCCAAGATAGTAGCAGAGCAGAAGACCTTCAGCTCACTTACAAAAGTTCATGCCAGGACTTCTTTTTCATCTGAGTAAGAATACTGAACAATACCCAAGTAAATGGAAACAAAGGAATATTTGTACTTGAAAACACTTTTTAAATTTCAACCCAAAGCCAAGGCAAACAGTTCTAAGTTTTACAGTAAAGCACTACTACACAGAGTAACATTCTAAATCAATTAGTCAAGGACTAAACAAAGATTATTCTCTCTTCAAGACTACACTTTCTGTCAGCCTGCAATTCTGTGGCAGAAAAATGAGTTCTGGAAAAGGTCTACAGCCCTAAGCAGATAAATTCTCAGTGCAGTTTAGACTCAAAATCAATTTCCAGTGATGACTCCCAGAGTGTCCTTGTGATGAGGAAAAAGAGTCACATTAAAAGTTTGAGAAATTGTCCTGAGAAAAGTGATCATTAGCTCCATTTTTTTTTTTTTTTTTTTTTTTTTTTTAAAGAAATCATTGAAAAACCTACATCCTTAGACTGTGTGTTAATAGAAAATTATGTAATGGACTTCTTAAGGTCTGCAAGTTGCAGGGTGTTTTTTTTTTGTTTTCCTGAAGGGAATTATTCCCAGGAGTTCTTGCTAGGGTGTGAATCTATCATGGGCTTCTACTTCAAGGAAGCTGTGAAACAGCAGAGCGTTTGTTTCTGCCACTTTGAATAAAAGCAGCAGAAAGGCATTTTTAGGTGATCCTGATATGTCTCGTCCTTGTTTAAGGAAGGCAGGTTAATCTCAGATGAAATCAGAGGGAAAAACTTTTCTTGGAAAAAAAAAAGGGGGGGGGGGGGGGGGAGGGTTTCTACTCCTGGCAACCTCTTAAACAGCACACTGCTATCTACTGGGCATGGTGGGAAGCACGGAACACAAGTAAACACAGGCCGTGGCTCCAGCTTTGCAGATACAAGAGCCACAGTATCAAGAACTAGGAGGAACGAAACTGAGGGAGTGATGTTAAAGAATTCTAGCTCTGGTTCTTTTTGAAAATTGCTTAAATTAATAGATTCTTTTCTGCAATATTTATGAAGTGAGATAAAGATTTAATTTCATTCCAGCAGTAGGTAAATTTGTTTCAGAAGTCAACAGTGACAAAATTGCCAGGACAGTTGTAGCTTAAAAAAATAAAAATAAAAAAATTGGAGCCCAACCATTATTTCTTTCTGCTTAACCTCTAGCTTAAGCTTTAGAAGGAAGGACAGACAGTACCTGCCCTCTTCTGTTTGTACATCCATAACTAAAGTCTTACTATAGCTGTTAAATTAAAAAAAAAAAAAAAAAAGAAAAAAAAAAGAAAAAAAAAAGCAGAAATTTCCAGGACTCAGGCACTACCAGTGAAGTTTTTCAAAGGAGTTCCTGAAACTCTATACTTTCATAATGTCTGTTAATGTAAAAATACATCCATATGCATATACGTATTTGGAATAAGGCTCAATTCTAAAGCATGACCTCAGATTCTGGACAGTAGAGTACAAGTAGCTATATGGAAGAGAAACATCGCTTCCACCCATGATGGTGGGAAGAATGTATCCTGCAAAGGAAGAGCTGTAAAGATACTTCCAGAGGAGAACTGCTGATGTGTTCCTGCCTCCTTGACCTTTGCTGATTTCCTTTCTTTGGCCATTCACCAACTTCTAAAAGGGTTTTCTACCTTACCACTTTCTGCTGGCAAACAAACAGACAAACAGTACAAAGAAGAGATTTCCACCATACGAGGACTCCACTAGCATCACGTGCCTTTCTACTCACCAGCAGGCCTAAGAATTCACATTTGCCTCCCATCCTTTTAAGAACAGCTTCAAGTCAAGTATTTAGCTGATTAACGGTGATGTTAACCAAACTAGGATTTTTCCTTGAAGTAGTTTCCACCCAGTACATATTTGCTTTCTAAATGCAAATTTAAAGCGTGGTGTCTGTTTAACAGCAACAAATAACAACATTTGTCATTTGTATTTTCGAGGTAGTGTTTCTGCTGTCTGCTGTTGAACTTTTCCTGTATTAAATGAGCTACTTCAGTAGATAGACTTCCAACAACTGTTCTTACTTCAAATGCATGCATTGTGCTTGAATGATGACTTAACTTTAATGCGTAAGTGCACGTGCCAGAGCAGCAAGCCCTTGAGAAAATGATAAGTGCAAAAATGAAAATACTATCTACTACCAATATTATTACATGCACCTGTAGCACACTTGCCTTTTCTCACCAAGGAAAGCACGTCCAATCTGCATGCGTGAATGAAGTGGCAAAAATCCCAAGATGCTTCATTCATAAACACTCAATTGACACATTTTTGTGGTTTTTCTAGGCTAATTTAAAGAGAGAGATATTTGTTATGGGTAAACCTCCTCGTAGCCCTGTGATGACTAAGAGATCCTGCAGCTCCTCTGTCAGAAGTCACAGCTATTCACACAGGGTATGGTACCAGATGCCCAGTGTGCAGTAACAGCATTTCCATATTAAAGGAGCTCAGTGTCTACAGTATTTTGTTTTTGCTCAAGTGTCTGAATACTATCAGTATGTTGTGTCTTCTTCCTGTTGTGCTTCTGTGCTATGTCTGAATAAAGCCAACAGGTTTCCATGTGCCAAACTTGTTATAAATCCATTAGTGTATTGTATCTCAGCAGTACTGCACAGTATTTCCAGTGCTACAAGATATAAGAGATCAAAGGTCTGCAAATATAGCCTGTTTTTTTGTCCTAAACAACGCTTGATTAAAAGTACTTCTAGTTTATTAAAGTTACCTTTGCCCTTACTTTTCCTTAAAGGATGAATTATTTTCTGCATCAATTTCTTAACACTGGACACTTAAAACTTGGAATTAGTTGCTTTCCATGTAGTCACTCCTAATTTAGAGCATCTTCTTTCCAGGTGCTTCCTTTTCAAAATTTCAATTTAAGATATGCAGGTTATTTTAATTTTCAAAGTCTTGGCTTTTTTGGAAGGCCTTTGTTTGCTGCAAGGTACAAGGAGACAGTACTTTGTACTGTCAGTGCTCCATCTTTGAACAGAGACAATCATAGGAAGACCAGAAATTTTATAGTACTGGACCAGCACCATCTCAGAGAAAGTCCATAATAAAGAAAATAATTATATCCACACACACACACGCACAAAAAAACAAACAAACAAAAAACCCCCAAGACCTATTTTAATTTTGCTTGTTAGTCCAAATAAATGGCATGCAGCCAATATGCTGAAGGGACTGTATTAGTCAATATTTAGTGCATTCATAAATTTAATTCCAAAACCACAAGAATACATTTATACACTTAGAGCTCTACAGAACTACTACAAGCAAGGGCACATCAATCATGCATGAAGATCAAGTATACCACTGGAATCCTCACTTGATTACACACTTCCTAACATTTTTTAGATTAGACCTTACTATTTTATTTATTTATTTATTTATTTATTTTAACTGAGGAAACAGGATACTGTAGCAAACCGATCCATAGCTGAAAGCCTACATCCTTAGCATGAAAACTAACTTAGCATTTATGGTGATAAATTTCATGGTATCTCCTCAACACCGTTGGCTAGAATATAAGTGTTGCACATTCAGGCTAATGCCACTGTATAAAGAAATAAAAACTTAGGAAAAAAAAAAAAAATGGGGGAAAAGCTTCTTAAAATAAGCTCAGGTAATATAGATGATCACATTCCAAGGTCTCCTGTTCAGATATAGCACCTAATTTCCCCACATCTTGACTCTGCCAAAACTTCCTCTGTAGTAGGAACATCAAGTTCCTACTAGAAAAATCTCTCGCCATCATCTTGTGTCATCTGTTTCTGTGGTAGTTAACTAACAGTAAAATATTCTAGTATTGAAGCATATGCAGAAAAAGAAAATTCACCAAATTTCTTCTTGGCATGGCGTATATTCAAAGCATTAAAATCATTCATAGTATCATTTATTACATTGGTTTTTATTGATTACAAGAAAAATCCATAACTTTGGTTGAATTCTCTTGCATCTCGGACAGTTTTTGCCATTCAGATTACATCAGGCTTGTGACTAAGATAAACTCCGGATTGCAATACACATATCAAGCAATCTGCCCAGTGCTATGTTCTTTTTTTGTTCAACAATTCAGCTGTTGAAGGAGATTTACCACGAACTCGAATGTCTAATTTGCAACCTTTGTTGTTGGATTCTGCAGTAATAGTTTTCTTATACACAAATGGAGAAGAGGAATATGATGGTGAACAGAGGATTAAAGAGTAAAAACAGACCATTTTGAACCTTCAAAACCTGTTTCCTCCCTAGCTCTCATCTTTATGAATAAGTTTTGTTATCAACCTGCCTGCATCTTTAGGCACCTTTAAAAATTTACACTCTACAGACTGTAAAGATGAAGCAGAAAATATTCATGATATTTTCTGCAAGTAAATACACAGCCACTGTGAAAATAAACTAACTCCTTTAATTACATCTGGAGATGCTGGGAAGTACAAAAAGAATATTAAAATGCACTAGTTTTTCAATTTCTACTAGTAGGCTATGGGTTAGTTACCACACGCTTCTCCCATGGAAGACTGCATCATCTTAGAGAAAATTGAAGCAGGATGATCTGGAATAGCCAAACATGGGAATGAAAGAAGCATGAACCACTAACAAAAGCCTCACAGCTTCAGGATCAGATTGCAATCTACTCAATTCATGAAAGAAAGTGTTATAAACTGTTTGACACCCACGTACTCAAAATAGTGGCAGTTCCTCCACTGGTATCAAGCTGTCAGTCTCCTCAACACTATAGGGCATCCTCAATCAACGCTGCTCATATCAACACTCTTCCAAGCAGCTGCTCCTGCACTCTTTCTGGCCAGGGCTACGCTGTAATTTGTTAAGTCATTATCTCCCTGAGCAGGTTTCCACTGGGGGATTAATATCTTTCATTTACATCATTTGCAGCTTTATTGGACATTAGTGGTGTGAGATTTAACACAAAAAATAATTCTTTTAAAAATTTGCACTGGAAATACATTTTTTTTTCCCCATCTTAAAGTAGAAGTGTTGTTATTTTCAAATAATTACATACAGTCCTTCAAAAATTCTTAGTGTTCTTGGTCTCCCAACAGCCTGCATGGCTTTGTGTTGCCCCTTGAGCTGGAACGGAATTAAAGCATAGCATGTTATGCCTGCCAAGTTATTACTGTGTGTAATGTAAATTGGATTGTTCTTTTGTGTATGGATGGTCTAAATTCTGCAATTAAGTATACGAGGTTTTGTTTCACTTAACTAAAAATATACTTCAAGTAATGTATAATGTTCATCACTTGCATCTAATTTTTCTAATGCTATTTTTGTTTCACTGCGATGATGCAGCAAACATCCGTTTCATTCTGTTCCAACTTTCTACTATGCCATAAACAGACTGTTGATAAAATTAAGTTTTGTTTTAGTTTTTATCTTGTCCTCTTCAAAAAAAAAAAATCAGATTTCTAAGCCTACCTAAGCCTATTGCTTGCCACGTCTCCTAAGAATTTATTGTGAGGTTGAGCGTGTGGGGAGGGTTGTTTTAAGCAAAGTAGAATACGAAAGCTTAAGCAACTATGCATCATACGCCTATCCAACTACTTGGATCTTAGACTATAAATCCTTATTACATTTCAAATCATTTCATTTCAGCCACAGCGCCCTGTGCTTGCTCATGAAAACATACACAGTGGGGGGGAACCGTAAGTATACTTCTTGTCTACTAAAGCAAACCTAACAATTAAGCAACAGCCAGCACATTCTCAAATAATTTGTTGACCTGCCAAGTACAACTATGAATAGATTTTGTAAATTTACAGATAACCACATGATGAAGGAAGATATCCAACATAGTCCCACAGGACAAAGTTTCAGTCATATAATTTAATGTTTGATGTAATCATACATCAAACTCACACTTGCCAACTTAATGTTCTCCATCATTTATACCACAAAGGGACAATAATTTTGTAAGGTTTGACTTTTTTTTTTTTTCAGAATTATTCTTATTGTCTCCACTGTTCTATCTTAGCAGAACACAAATTAGAGTCTTTACATTAATTCAACTCTTCTTACAATGCAAATTAGCCAGAAACCATTCTGAATGTGAATTGATAACATTAATCATGAGAACACAGAAACACTTTTGTGTAATTTACATGCGCAATTTAAAAATTAGATACAAAAAAGCTTTTTGAAGAACTAGAGAAGAACCTAGGTTTCAAGTTGTATTTTTACAACGCAAGCAATCAGAATGAAACTTGTAAGGTTGTTCTGGTGCTATTAAAATGCAAATTCAGTGCAAGATTGTTTCAATTTCTTATTTTTTTCCTCTAGCATCAGAGAGCTTTGGAGCTAGGTGAATTCTCCTGCATGCGATTAGGGCTTATCATCTAAAAATGTTTAACAGCTTAGCTGAAGAAACAGCAAAAGAAAAGAATGGAGCAGTTATCAAATGATAACTGGACCACAAACAATATATAATAAAAATTGGACGTTTTGCTTTCAATCTCTCATTTTTTCCTCAAGCTGTTGGTGGGACAGCTAAGCATACTGAAGCACCTACCTGTTTTGTAAGCAATAATTATCTAAATAATGTTCTTCAGTGAGTTTTAGTAGTGCATGACTAAAATTACTCCATCCTAAAAAATATATATATATATATTTAAATTGTCAACCATATATTGTCTTGAATATGCATTTTGTCAGTGTTTTAGTTTTAGTAGTCTTTCCTATTTAAGAATTTCCTAACAAAAGGAATTCTAAGTAAAATTATCAAAAAGGGAATTAAATGACTACAAAAAGAGTATGAAAATGGATTAGCTAGATATGACTAAGATGACAGAGCTGGAATACTTCACCCTCTTTCACATGTGACTGCCCTAGTCTACACCTTCCTTTTAGCTTCCTTCTTCTGAAGGGAGTCACTGTGCACAGTTTTTTGTGCCTTCTTTTTCTCTCAACTTTATCTGTTTTATTCCCCGTTCATCTCTGAGGCTGCTGTGACAGGCACATTCAAGGCAAGAGGTATAAGTGCATATACTAACTTGTGGTCTACCTCTTATGAGGTGTTCCACTTTGGAACTTATTCTTTTTCATTTTACCAGCTCAATTTGTCTCTTCCCCCCTTCACTACCTCTGCAAATCTTTCTCTCAGGCTCTCTTTAAAATATTTTCTCCCTTTCACACATATTTGCCAGCCTATCTCCTTTTCCTTTACGACAGAAACAATTTGTAAAACCACCTATTTCAGCCCTGTAGATAGCAGGGTCTCATTTTGCCCTCTTCCTACAGTTACACAACAGAGGAAAACTCCAGGCTAACACAGGCTGTCCCACCAGCAAGGGGCAGCTGTCTGAGGAGAGGCCTGAACCCAACAGCTGCTCCTTCTCAGTACTCCAGGTGCAGGCCACTGCCTCAGGTTTCATTTATGGTCACCCTTGCTTCTTGGAGTTGCTTGCCACTTAGCTAATGCATAGAAGGACAACTTTAAAAACCCACCCCAGCAGTGATGACTTGTGAATAACAAGGGACTGATGTTACAGGGGCAGTTTTAAGAATTGAAAGGGTTATAGCTATTTCCACATAGCAATTACTGCCCTCCTTCCCACAAAGGTAAGCCACCTTTCTACGTGCAGAGCTCCCAGGTGCCAGCCCTCCTCTAGTAGGTGCTAACAAGCAGCCCAGGGCAGTCCCCACTTTCAGAGGCAGTACGTGTGAGCTGCCCTCCTCAGCATCCACACCACATCACACAGCAGGGGCCGTGTTTGTATGGTATGCATTGGCTCTACCATGGCAGTGTAAGGACAGCAGGATCAGCAAAGCAAAAAGCATGGTCTTCAATGCTGCTCATGGGGGTTAAGAGGCTAGTGCAGGCTACAGCCTCCCTCTAAGAAATTACATTCTCTACTTTGGTGACTCAACTAAAAAATATTTAAACAGAATCGTGTTTTAACCAACACTGTGCCATCAGGCTTGCCTTGTAGCCTCAGTCTTCACTACCTCATTCTTTTGGATAAAGTTGGGTACAAGCCTTGATATCTTCCACCAAGCAAAACAAACCCTTTTACCCTTTTCTTACGCTTGAAGGGAGCTTTACTTACGAGTTAATGTTTAAAACAGCTTCTTTAATGACAATGCAAAGAACTCTTTCTTCTTTTTAAAATGCAACATTTGTCCTATTTAAGGTTTCAGGCTCTATATAACTATACTCCTAGGAATGAAGATGAATTGGAGCTCAGAGAGGGTGATGTCATTGATGTGATGGAAAAATGTGATGATGGATGGTTTGTGGGTATGTTTTAAATGGTTGCTTTTTCATATATTCTTTATTCCTGACCTCTGCTGCCCTGTTTGTTTGGTGTCTTACAAACTAATTAATCTTTGGCATTCATTGTAATAAACCTGAACCTGGTTTTACCAGGGGAAATCCCCACCAAAATCCTGTGAAGTTAATGGGTGATCATTCACTTCTGCACTTGGGAATTGACACATGCTTCTAATTTGTTGTACAGCATTATTATCATTCTCACAGTGACACAGAGTGGACTGTGTATTGCTCCTCATAAAAACTTATATGAGTACTGCTACAGAACTGACTATTTGTGAAAACTGAGTATTACTGAACAAACAGATGCTTAGGTCTAAATAAGGTGGCTAAATCATTGCATAAACATTCATGCACACAGTGGCTAAATTCTTTATCATCTTATTAATCCTTAGCATTTCAAAAATCCAAATTAGTTAACTATGAACAAATGATGCTGTTAAAAGTAAATGATTTCTATGCACCAAGTCAAAATTTCAGCACATTAGATTTAGCAGAGATTTCAACTGAGCTATATAATTCAATCAGATATGCCTATATTTGCTTTTTCCTTCCTGCAGATATTATTTGTTAAAATTCACAACTCGCAAATGAAATACAAAATTCACTTAATTTAATGTAAAGAACAGTAGATACATTTGTAAAATATTAAAAAAAAAAAAATTCAAGGACGTGCTTACATAGAGATTTTCCTGTTATTATTGCCTTCTTTCATCTATTGCTTCTAATTTCAGGAACTTCAAGAAGAACCAAATTCTTTGGTACTTTCCCTGGAAACTATGTCAAGAGGCTGTGAATTTTTTTCATTCTTATTTATGCTGCATCTCTGCAACATATCTGCATAAAGCTGCTAGAAAACATGCTACGCTGGCCTTCTGTTTTCTCGCTTGCAGTCTCAAATAGAGGCCATCCAGTTCATCCTCATCCCATCCCATCTGCCAAACCGTTCCAGCAGTATTACAGCAACGACTACCGTGTGAATAACTAAGCTTTTCTGAAACAAGAGGAATCCTCCCTACCTATAAGTACTCCCTGCTTTTAACTCTTTTTATTTGAAACGCGATAGGAAAAGCCTGATGAGAGGTACCCAGAAGAATTGCTACGGTGGTGGGGGGTGTAAGGAGAGGGAGAAAGTCTTCCTGTTTGGGACATTTGTGGTACTATCATGAAGTGCGATGGGAAAACAAAATTTTTCAGCATGCATGTATAACAGAGGGAAAGTTGCTGCTTACTATTTAAGAAGAAAAAAAAAAACACAAAACAAAAAAGATGTTTTGAGTTTTCATATTCTTATTAGCTTGGCAGCATTTGTTGCTTTCACTTTGCTGTATCACAAGTTTGCCTATTGTACTGGTTTACAATGACAAATTATAATATAGGTTTTTTGCCTGCACTTGTATGTTGTAACTTATGCACAGTGACTGTAAAATCTCAAGCAAGTGTAGTGAAAAATGGAAGAACTGCAAGTGTTCTGATGGTGCAATGGTATTTGCTAAACCCTTTTTTCCCTATTAAAGCTACAGCATTTTCTCTTCAAAGGTAAGAAGTGCAAGAGGTGTAAAACCTCAGGAAACAGGATTTAAAGAAGAGACAGACAGTGATATAAGCACAAACAATAACAACCTGCTGATCATATGACATTAAATGGTTGTAATCAAAATGTTGTAATAGTCAGCAGCATGAAATCTGAGAGGTTAGTGTTTTTTATGTACCACAGGCATTTTAAGAAGCAGCAAGTAAACAGTGTTAGTGCAAAGGATTGTTTTTCCTCTAACATAGCCACCTGAAAAACATTCACAAGTATCATGTACTGATTTATTTCACTATACACACACACGTATATATATACACATGTATGTTAACAAAATCTGAGTTACACTTTTTTTTTTTTTAGGAATTTAGTACATTAAAAAAAAAAAATCACAAGTATTAAAATCAATACGTTTGAGAGGGTTTGGGTTGTTGTTGGTCTTTTTTTTCCTGAATGAATCAAGTATTTGAAAACAGATATTCTCCATATGCAACCGTAAGCATAAATAGCATACTAAATTAAGGCACAGGATGATAATGACTACGACTTCATGAAAAAAAAAAAAAAAAAATGATTTTTTTTTTTTTCCAAGTCAGATTTGTTTTCTTTGGCACCTTATAGATGGCAAAAGCTTCTACTGCATTTCTCATGGGTAAAGGACTGAAATTATCAACATGTATTTAGCCTCTGTAGCATTTTGTACATATGTTTGCTTTTTTGTACAGAGCCATTTGGTTGTCGATTTAAAAAAAAAAAAAAAAATCAAGTTTCTTATTTGATCTTCACCCTCTTTACATACAGAACATTTCAATGCATTTTGCTTTACTTTCTCTATTTACCATAAGCACATCTGAATAGTGCAATTCTGTAAGATAGCATTTTATGCAAAATTTTATTAATTAAAATATGGTTTACCAGCCAAATCTAAATGTACATATGTCTTTATTACTGAGAAATGTCATTAAGACGAAGGTAAAGAAACATCTTTGTGCAGCATACCTTTATTATTGCAGATTTAATGGCAAAAGCTTTATATTTCAAAGGCTTTCAATTTTAAACTAGATCTGCATGCAGCTTTGCTGTGAGATTAATTCCTATCTTTGATGCCATTTATGATTGAAGACTTAAATATCTGTTGCCTGTGATATTTAAAAAGTACTGTTTCTACTCTGTATCTGATTTTAGAAAAATACAGGTTTTTCATACCTGGCTTTCAGGTAATTGACTTTGAATTCCTACAAGCAAAAGGTCTCTGTGTTTTTTTCTTGAATAGACTTCCAATAAATTTTGCTTGGAGTACACAAGTGTTTCCCAGTCATTTCTCAAATACGTGTAACAGATACTCAAGTGCTACAAAGCTCTTTAGGCTTTTACATGCAAGTACAATCAGTGTTGCCTTTACAGAGATTTTCTACTACCACTGAGCATACACAGGTTGCAATATGGACAACCAGTATTGTCAACACAGTTGTCACTTCATCCACTTCAGTGTCACCCCTATAACTCCTGAATCCAAAAGGAACTCCTGGGCTTTCTGCACTGACTGCTAATGCAAGGTAATTTTTCTGTTACCAGAGCTGGCCTTTGCTCCTGAAGCACAGAGATAAAGTACATTACTGAAGCCCTTTGTATCTCACAGAAGTTCCACACCCTAATTCTTTCCTTAGCAAAAGGAAAACAAGAGAAACAAGCTTAGAATTAAAACTTAAGGAAAATACAGGCTTGGGAGAGAGCATCTTATGCTTGGGACTCTGCCTGAAGCACTGAGTTACATCCTGTTAATGCCTCTGCCTGGCAAAGAGCAGCTTGCTGTTCAAACAAAACCCAAACCCACAGGAAGCAGAGCATACAGGCAGCAGCCTTCTTTCCCTGTGTGGTTACTCCTGGTGCCTCCGGGCTCCCTGGTCCTGCTCCTCCAGCCCTCGCTGGCCTCCACTGCCAGGATGACACCTTCCAGACGTGCTGTTCTGCACTCTTACTGCTGGAGAGTGCCGCATTCTGGCACAAATAATCTATTTCTGACTTGCACAGCTTTGTCTTTACAATAGCTGGGCTGTTAAAATGCCAGCAAATGAGCTCCTCTGTCAGCATAAACAGATTCTGCTGGGAGTGATTTCAATTTGGACAAGGCCTAATTTAGGCAGCAGTACTGTCTCTGAGGTAAACATGCCCTTACAGCACTAAGTTAGCTTAAACCCACAACACATCTCTTGCTCTATAAACTAATGGCTGAGTATACGAGCACATGTTGTGTGGTTTGCCCTTCTGTCTGTTGGCTGGGTGATTCTGTGCATCTGAATTCTCTTTGCTAATTGCAAGAGGGAATTTAAAAAGTGTAAGGATAGATCATAATAAGAATTGCAAGTCACTGACACCAAGAAAAGAAAAGAAAAACTGTAGTGTCTGTGGTTTAGTCAAAAAGTGTTGCAAGGTGACCAGAAATGTAAAATTAAAGGACAACATGGAGGTGCAAGTTCTGTCCAGGTAAACAAAATATACTGGAATAAGCAAGGTCTGTTGAAATTCCTCCTACACTATTTAAGTAACAGACCGAAGGACTTTTTGAGCTTTCTTGTAAAATTCTGATATACTCCCCTATAAATTAATAGGGTAATGCACAGAACTGGAAGGTGCTATATCTCTAACCAGAACTAGAGATAAATTGAGAAGAGAGACCTGTAAAATTTTATGTCAGTCAGTTTAACATCTAGGATTTTTTTCTAGAAAGGGCCTCAGATTTTTCTAGAAAATGGTATAGCAAATCAATTCTCCTTAATTTTACTGAGGTATGTAGCATGGATCTCAACTTCTATTAGGATTTTCTTTTAATGCTATCACATGATAGCTATACTGGCAGGCTGAGAAAAGTCTGCTAGAGCGTTCCTGAAACTAAGTTCATTGCACAGCTGCACTGCATCACAGATCAAAAAGTCATGCAACCAGAGCTTCCCCAAACAGCAGCAGATTCTGCTGCCTACCTTTTGGCAAGCTATCCGCCTGCTGTCCATCACCTGCATGGGAGACAAAAGCCACTACAAAACAAAACCAAGCAACTCCACAAAACACCAACCAACCAGCGACACTGAGGCATGAGCTTTTCAAGGTAACACTATATCCCAAAGCTAAGGGTCACCCCAGCAGTTTTAACATTCTGTTGCCCGTGCCAAAGCCAAGTATGTTGTCATTCTGCAATGCCCGGTATTTACCAGCTGCCTTTTAGCTGCTGCTATACACAACTGTGGCAGGAACACAGGGTGCTTCCTGTAGATTCCAAAAAGCAACGCACGAGCTAATGGGAAGCTAGAATTATGAAGTAAGCAGCTCTAGAAAGACCTCAGGTCATTGTACCATGTAACTATAAATGCTGTAAGGGAAACCCTGGCTTTGCTTCAGTTAACAGCAAACTCCACTGAAATCAATAGATTCTGAATTTGCTTCAAGGATCGTATTGTTAATACATTTTCTACCTTAGTTTGAAAAAAAGACCGCAGAAAAGAGAAACACTGAAGCAACTGGATGTCTGATCTGGGCTGGTTTTTAATCACATCAAGAAGTATGAGTGCGAGCAGAACCCAGAACACAGTGATGCTGGTGACATACAGGCTCTTATTCACGTATTTTTGCCGCTCTAAGACAAAGAAAGACTAACGGAAGTTTCCAGGTTAACATGCAGTGACAAAACCAGCGAAGAGCTTGAACAATACAGCAGGTACAGTTTTTGTTTTCATCCTGCTGGTTGGTAACACTTTGCACCTTACTTCCTTAGCAGTTCTGAATCCATAACTCCCAACTCCTGTTTCATTTGCTTTGATGTGAGTCCCATATGTAAACTGTTACAGAGTTTTGCCATCAAGTATTATATCTGGGAGTCGTTGAGGAGCAATGTACTAACACACTATTTAATCTAGCAGAAAGTAGAAAGCCTTCATACTGAAAGAGCTATCCCACTAAGCAGCTGCAGCAGTGACGTCACATCTAATTGCAGATCTGGTGCAGAGGATTCCACTGCACAGTGGCATTACATCACAAACGACTCCAAAGGGAAAAAACAAGTGTTGTCTGACAACCAGAAATGCGTTGCTAGGTTTATCTTCAGAACAGATACTCCAGCTTCAACCATTTACATTTCTTGCTGCCAACACAAATAAACTCTGAGGCCGTTATTTTGCACCCACGTACACACATAGCACAGTAATCCTCCTACATTTTCCATCCACCAGGGAAAAAATCAATTTTTAAAATACCCCAAGAATAACGTAATTCTGTTTCCAGTCAAGACGGTTACCAGACAGTTGCACACAGGAGAAGAAACTTCTGTCAAGCTCCCATCTCACTCTATGAGGGGGTCCTGTATTCCCTTGGGCCCACTCCACATGCCTCACTCTAGCTCTAGCCAATTTGAATAGTAGCTTTCTATTTAACTATTGGACCCTTTAATACTTCTTTGGCCCCTACTCCATTTTAGTTCATTTCAAAACTTTCTACAAACATCACACATATGTGTAATAGGGTAATTAAACCTGCATCAAGATTTTCCCTTGCCACTGAGACAGGTAAGCACAAACCAATGCTGTAGACGGCAGCACGAGTAGCCCAAACATGTCATTCTAAGTGGGTCATTGTATTGCTGCTGCTGCTGCCATTAGCCAGATAAACCTAGAGCACAGGAGGGCCCAGCTAGTGCTTCCCACTCTGGAGTGAGGGTTAACACTGGCAGCTGTAATGTGAAACATGTACAAACACTGGCTGGCGCAGGAGCTGTAAAAGGCTTTTCTTACACTACTACTGATTCATCTGTTATAGATAGGTGTTTTCTACATGTAACTGGAAATATTCGAACAGGTGAGAATCAGCCCTTCCCCCTCTTAAACCAAGGAAGAGAATAAATTAATGCGTCAGAATGTCTGAGGTAGTAGTAGGCAATGCTTGCATGCCAATGGAGAGCTCTGTGCACTATTTATAGATCTTCTTCATGTGCTCTATGGCGCTCTTACTTTTCCCTCCTGTTCCACCACTCATTCTCTTCTCATCAATCCTCAGAGGCTCACTGAAGGAAAAACTGCAAGGCATGGAAGGTGACATTCTAGAACTGAAAAATACTAAGGATCTGTTTTACTCTATTCAGTGTTTCTGTCTCATGCACCATCTTATCCAGACATCCCCTAAAACGCTACCTGCATCATATACTCATTGAGCAAGACTATCAGATCAAACAGTCAACTTGACAAAGAATCTTCATAGAATCATGGAATGTTGGAAGGGACCTTTAAGATTGTCTAGTTCCAACACCCCTGCCATAGGCAGAGACACCTCCACTAGACCAGGTTGCTCAAAACCTCATCCAGACTGGTTTCGAATGCCTCCAGGAAGAAGGCACTCGCAATCTTGCTGGGCAACCTGTTCCAGTATCTCACCACCCTCAAAGTAAAGAATTTCTTCCTAATATGTAGTCTAAGTCTACTCTCTTCCAGTTTAAAACCATTTCCCCTTGTCCTATCACTACACGCCCTTATGAAAAGTTGCTCCCCAGCTTTCTTGTAAGCCCCCTTCAGGTACTGGAAGGCTGCCAAGAGGTGTCTTCAGTACCTTCTCCCGGCTGAAGAGCCCCAGCTCTCTCAGCCTGTCCTCATAAGGGAGCCCCCTGTTCATCTTCATGGTCCTCCTGGTCATCATCAGGGAGGTGGAGAGAAAGGGTAATGATCGAAAGGTAGATTTACTCCATTTCAAATGACTTCCTCTATAAACAGAGAATTTTCCTTAAGGGTCTTCCTTATGGAGAGATTACCCTCCATTTCTGGCCTGGATTTCTATACTACCGAACAACTTCAGGAGCAAAAGTTCCAACTACATAAGAGTATTAACTCCTCGCATACTGGAATAAAGCAAAAATGAACATGTAAATATTGTTTTAAGACTGTATTTGTGCATATTCATATCTGACAGTTTCTACATTAACTATTTCAAACGCAGTAATTACTTGTCAATAAAGACAAGACTTCATGATAGTTACATTTCTGCTGGTTTTTGCCGACGCTGCACTGACATTCTTTCACAGTATTGACAGCTTTTTCAAATATTTTTTCGCTGCATATTTAGTCCTACATTCACTGAATAAAAGCAAAGAAAAGTACAATCAGGGCAAAGTGTGAAAAGCATAATTAAGTACTTTTATTCAGTATTTGATTTTGCTGTTAAGCAACTAATTCATGGTTGTGGAAAAGCTGGTTATGTCCTTTTAATTAGCAGAAAGAAATCAAAATTATAACTAGGAAAATACTTAAGTACAAGCTAAATTTAAGTATCA